ATAAGCCAGTTATCAGCTGCCTTCGGAGTCGGACATCAGTGGGGCAGACGAACAGCTGGAGCCTGTTCCCTGTGTGCGCATGCGCAGAATTGCCAGATGAGGGTCGACTTGGGAGTAAAGCCACAGGTGGATGGTGAATGGCCCCTCCCACAGGGAATAAAACAGGAGCAAAAGGGGAGTGGAGTTTGCAGGAGACAATTCGTTCATTCCTGCATTCTTGCCAAGTATTGCAGCGTCTGAAAGATATCGGCCTGGACACTCTCCAGGACATGATAAAGGTCGGTAATTGTGAACTATCTTGAAAGACTGTGGGAGAGAAAAGATTTTGCTGGAGAGGAATTCACTGTGAATTAAATAAAAGGGTTTATCAGGACGAGGACTCGGCTTTGTGCTGCTGGGGAAGCCTAGGTCAGAATACCGATGAAAAAGAAATGTCTCCACCACCAGATCTAAGCTCCAAAACTTGTGCGCAAAAACAACGTTCTGTTATTGGAACCTTCTGGATATGTTAAGGAGGGCAACTGCGTAAATTTGCAGCCAATCTGAATTTTCAAAGCTGCAATGGTGAGCAAGAACATTCAACCCAAAGAACAAAGGCCAAGAAGATCAGGCTGGAGCAGAGGAAACCAGCTGCAGCATATGACACCACAGCTGGTTGTAGCTTTTGGGATTATCTGGTACATTTTTACCTCCCTTTTCTTAGTTTTCAAGCTCCAGAGATCTCTTGGGCACCAGCAGATCACCTTCTACAACTCTTTCAACTGGGCGCAAATTGTTTTGAGCCGTCCAGAGGGACGCAGGATGAAAAAGATCACGGCTGATGAAAAAAACGCTGAAAAGATCAGCCAGAAGATGTTATCTCAGATATGTTTAAGGTTTTCAATTAGGGTTTTTGTTATTGTTGTTGTTGCTCTGTCCTCTTTTTCGCTCCCCATCGGTGAGTTCCTTATTTCCAAAATCGATAAAATCCCAAAGCAATGGCAAGGCAAGTGAAAACAGAAGCTGAAATTAAAAGTAGAAGAAGAAGAAAAAAATAAGTGAAACTTTTTGGGTTAAAAATGTTTCATGCAATTTGCCGTCACCATTTTAACAGATTAACAGAGTTGGAAGGGACCTTGTAGGTCATCTAGTCCAGCCCCCCCCCCCCCAAGCAGGGGACCCTACACCATTTCTGACAGATGGGCAGTCCGATCTCTTCTTGAAAGCCTCCAGNCTAGTGAAGCCCCACTCTAACTCTGGGGATAAAAGGCAGGGGGCAGAGATGGATAGATGTGGCAGAGGAGAGGAGAGCAGTGGAAATCTATGGGCTGGTCCTTGGGATGGAAGAGCCACTGCTGCTAGTGAACCCCACCTTAGCTCTGGGATAAAAGGCAGGGGGCGGAGATGAATAGATGTGGCAGACAACTATTCATCTCCTTGCAATACAGGCCTATTAGCCTGCATTGAGAGAGAGGGGGTGGGGTGGGGTAGGGTGGGAGACAGACAGACAGACAGACAGACTTTTTGCTGGGGGTGCTGGCGCTCCTTATAAAGGGAACGTTTATTTAACTACAGAAGGTTTCTTGTGTTTGGAAGCTGGTCGGAACATTTACAAAGTGTAAGAAGGGACTGAACAGCTAAGCAATTCTGGAAATTTGCAGCCAAGTAGAAAATCCAGAGGTGAACCCTAGGGGGCAGTAGTTGCCTAATATTAAAACAAACACATTCACTTCCAAGAATTTCAGTTTATAAAATTCAAAGCAACAAGAATTATTTCTGAAGACATCCAGCCTCCCTTGTGCTTTGGGGCTGCTGTCCCAACCCACCTCCCTTTTCACCATGTCAAAGTAAGAAAAAAAAACCCAATGATTTCTCCAACATCTGGAGAGCACAGTGGTGAAGAAGACAAGACCGTTTGATAGAACTAAAAAAACACAATACTGCAATTTAAAAAAAAAACCCCACAATGTTCTGTCTGACGCATGTATTCAAGGGAATTGGGGAATGAACCCAGCTGGCAATGCGTACTTAAATCTTCCCTTCGCAAAGGAAAAAAAAAACATCTGGCAGCTTTAAGGACTCTGCGGTTTGCGTATTTTGGGGGGGGGCAATGCAAGATAAAATGCAGAAAATTCAGCTCTGGAAAGGCAGGTTTAAGTCAGGTGAATTAATGTGGCATTTTAAAGGACATCTTTAATAATAATAATAATAATAAATCCTTCCTTCCTCTCAACCCACATCTTTTCAATGAGGTATCTCAATATTAGGTAAAGGTAACAGTTCCCCTCGCACATATGTGCTAGTCGTTCCCGACTCTAGGGGGCGGTGCTCATCTCTGTTTCAGGGTTCCACCACAAAACCGCGTTCGACTAAACCACGCTCGACGAAACCGCGTAGCTGACGTCATCAACAGCGCGACAACAGCACAGAGACAGAAGCACGCTGTAAACGCTAAACCTAAAATTAACCCCTAAACCTAAACCTACCCCCACTAAACTTGTGGACTTCAACTCCCAGAATTCTCCAGCCACCTCTGCACAAGTCTTAAAGTTGCCAAGTTTGGGAACCACTGTCCTAGACAATAAAGCAATTTAAAAGTCTCCTTGAAGGAAGAATCAGGCCCTAGAACAGAGCAATCAGGAATTAGCAAT